ATTGCATGGCCAGGGGCTAAGCCAAGAATGCCAACATACTGCCTAAGTGGCTACATGTCTTCACCTCTGAAAGTAGGAAGTACATTGACGAATACCAAACAGAGGGAGGATTGCACAAGTGTGTGTGTGTGTGTGTGCGTGTGTGCATGTGCATGTCCGTGTGTGTGTGTGTGTCCGAATTGCCGGAAAGGTATACAGACCAAAACTTCGCAGCGGAGTGACTGGTCAGGACTTGGAATGTTTTGCGCTAACGCGCGAGGTACTTCGCAAAACCACCTGTTTAGAGTAGGCAAGCTGCTACAGGGTAGAGGATCTTTCAACAGGTTATATGTAACTTGCAAGGGCCCGAGGTTCTTGATGATTGACAGCAATGCGATGGATGTCAAGCCTTACGACGCAGATCCGGAGCACAACCTCTGCGGACGCCGGCACAACCCCACGGGCGCTTCTTGCGCCGCGACGGGTGGGCCGAAGGACCTTTCGGAGTGCTTTCGCTGGTTCTGGGACCTTTGGAGCAAAGAGCAGAAGCCTTGGGTCGAGCAGAAGCTTCAAGCGTCTGACGCCGACTGGCAGATCATAGTAACTCACTTCCAATGTGGCACACAGGCAGAATGGTTCAAGCGACTACGCCAAAAGTTTGGCCTCGATCTGCTGGTAACTGGGCACACGCATACGCAGCAAGTCTTCCACAACTCCGGCTTGCTTGGGGGCATGACCTGCTTCATTACTGGAGGTGGTGGAGGCAGGTCTTGCCTAAACTCCGAGCTTCTTTCACCTAGCCAGAGCCCCACGCCCACACCCTTTTTAAGCCAGATTGCGAAGCATCCACGAGCTGCTCAGGCATTGTCTCGGAGGGTGACGCAACTCCCTACAGGAGCAGTCAGTATGGCTTCTTTGACATGACCATCAGCAAAGAGAAGATTGTGTTGGAATCTATAAACCACAACGGAGTCACTCTCGGGAAGTACGATGTTCTTCCATTTAGAGTGTGACCGGCCTTGTTAAGGCAACGCCCGCTCACGCACAAGACGATGAGATGCGGTTGCTAGAATTTCCCCGCGTGCTGGTCTGTGTAGGGGTTCCCAATTGCGTTGCAGAGCGGCTTCTAACCGCAGGGCGCAAAATCTCCGAGAGCAGGCCTTGTTACACTCTCGCGTATTGCATGCATCGAAGCGCAGTCTGACAGGAGACACCCTGGACATTGTGCCGCCTCTGCAACCAGGATTTCAATTGCTCGGCGATTGACACAGCGGCAGTTGATAGAAGTCTTGTATCTCGGGTGTGATGCAGACTGGATTCTTGCCACCTGTGGCGGGGATATGGCGCCCGACCAGGCATTCACGGTGTCGGATACTGTGGATCCAGACATGCTGCTATTCTTAAAGCTTCTGAGTGATCATGGTGTGAGCCGATGACGATGACAATCCACA